GTCACACCCAGATACACACCACACCACCATTCTTTCCCTTGCACTACACAACCACATGCGACCTAACCGACTCCGGAGGGACCAGTCGCCTTGGATATAGGTAAGTAAGCTTCGTCCAAATTCCTTCCGGTCGACTGGCCGTAGTATAACGCTCCCCCATATATTTTAGTGTAATTAGAGAGATTCCACGTGGCCACATTGAGGCTCGACCTACGTCTGCTCGGGAAGTCTTCAGCTCATGTGCCCCTGAGGATCTGATCCTTTAAGGGAGCAGCCGTAGGCACGGCCTATACGGAACAGTCGCGTAAAAACGCTAGCCGCCATACTGTTCAACTCGTGACGTCACTTTCCTAGAATTTTGTAAATTTTGAAAAGGAATAAGATACTTTTGAATATTTAGTAAGTAGTTATCATCTATATCATTGTTGTGTTGTGCCTGATTGCAAAAATACGAGCATAAGAACGCCGGGGAAGTTATGGATTAATGTACCAACTGATTTAAATGTGAGAAATACTTGGTTACAACTGGCAAGAAGAGACCCGAAGGCATTGTCTACAAAATCTAAACTATACTTCTGTGAAGATCACTCTTATGTAAGTATGACTTATAAACTATGGATTAAACAAAACAAAACATCATGACATGATAGGTACCTACTGCAAATCAAATTTTGTAATAGATTAGGTTAATCGCTAGTCTGTCCCGCCCTTTGTGGGCCATTTTGATAGCCCTTGCAAGTGCAGTGCAGTGTTTTACTTAATTCCTATTTTCTTCTATTATATGGGAATAAAGATATGGTTTGTACACAAACCAAATAAAACAGTGACTTTTTATTTCGTCTGAGGGTTTGTACAAAAAAATATAACAAAAAGTTTTTCTCACCTAAGCTTTTATTATAATATCTATAACATTAGTGCTAAAAGCGAAGTAATAAACTCGCTTTTACGAAACCGTCTTCCATGATGGCTTTTCAATAAAATTCGGAATAAAAGTCAACAATCGTAATGATAACTTGAAAAATTTTGAAATTAGCTAGTAAGTACACAGCACATAACCTAGTTCTTTGACCTAGTGACGTCACGACGCTATCTAATATGGCGAACATCGTTTTGCAGACTTGAGGCACAGGTAAAAAAATATTCTTTAAATTGAAATATAAAATTTATAATGCATTTTTATAAATAGAAATCAATATTTCTCGTTTACTTTTCCAAAATCTATCATAAATATATATTCTTTGATTTTTTTTACATGGTGTAAAATACCCTATTAGTGAGTAACTCACTTCACCGCATAACAGATTAGAATTACGTTGTTTCTAGTGAATTGCTGTTCATTTCCTGAATTCTTTGTTTGTAAATTTAGTCTTGTAATCATGATCTAGGAATCAGATACAAAACTAAAGGAACTAGTAAAAAAATCCTGCCAATTTTAAAGCAAAACTGACTCAATTTGTGAACGTTTTGAATTTATACAAAAGCTGTGCAAAATTAAGTGAGTTGCAGGCATGTGAATTGGAGTGTCGTTTAAGTCAAATTGATGCATTATATAGTGATTACAATGCATTACAGGCCAACATCGAGCTACTAGAGTACATGCGAGAACTTGCGAGACATCATAGAAATAATAAGCGTATCGCAATGGTCGGTGGGCTCACCCAGAGTCGCAAGGGCCTTCAAGTTTTTGTTGGTGACATCAATCGTGTTTCTTAAACACACGCTAGATTCTTTTTGTAAAAGCTCAAAATCAAAAAGGGCTTGTACGTGGTTGTTTACGAGCAGTCGTGGATTATCATACCTGTCTGATAGAAGTTGTAACGCAATGGCATAATTATCAGATCTAAGTTCTAAACTGTAAAAAACCAGCCAAGGCTACATGAATCAAAGCTTGGTTGGATCATATCTAGCTGTATTCCTCAGCCTACTCAGGCAACATCTTCTATCTGTCATTTTACTCACACAAACAGATGAGTCTCTTTTTACTCGCTTCTGGGAACTGGATTCTGTACCTACGAAGTATCACATGTCTTCCAAAGAGCGACTATGCGAACAGAGCTTTGAGGAAAATACAAGAATATGCAAAATCGGTCATTTTATTGTAAAAATACCGTTGAGAGATTCACCCAATGTTCTTGGAGACTCGTACACTATGGCAAAAAACCGTTTTTTGTGCTTGGAACGCAGACTTGAGAAGGATTTTCATTTTAAAGAACAATATTTAGAGTTCACAAAAGAGGATATTGTGTTGGGTATATGAGTGAAAACAAAATAAAAACAATTGTTTATACCCAAATTTGGTTATGTTTGAACGCCACTCAATTGAGTTCGAGCTAGCGCGTCACCCGATAGTATGTAGGTGAGATAAGCGCCGAGGTGGGGCGGCCGTGTGCGGCGGCCGTGTGCGGCGGCCGTGTGCGGCGGCCGTGTGCGGCTTGCAGTAGCTCGACGCATGGGCGCGTTTTCGGAGTTACCCACTAGCCGCGATGAGAGGAACCCGCGTAGCTCGTGATTGCGGCGGAAGTTCACGCGACCGTTGTCGGGTCCAGATAGTTAGATTAAGTGCGTGTTACTTCCTTACGTGGATTTGTGAATTTTGCGATATTTAACTTGTCCGGGGATGCGGAATTGTGCACGCGCGCGTCGAGTAGATATACGGTTTAGGGTTCGAACCGCGCATTCCTTGTTCGAGAGCTTCTCCCGGTTGATCATCAGGAAATCATTATAATCGTGTCGTCGCCTTAAGTGCCCTTTTTTGTGTGTGTTGGCTTGTTAATTTACGCGTCAACGAGGCGTATTTTGAATCTTTTCGCGACGTGGTGTTTTGGTGTCGAATGAAGGAACTTAGTTGTGTTTAACGCTGAGTAGTATGACTCATTAAGAGATCGCTTTAATTCCCTCTTTATAATTTTGTGATAAGTGAATCCGAGACATTGAATGTTGAACTTTGAACTGCTGTCCGTTACTGTGTCGGGTATCACGTATTCGATTCTACGATGAATGTGAAATTCGGCGAGTTTAAGTTAGTTAAATGTACAATGAAGCTAATAGACTGAAATTGCGACAAGGAAGAAAGAAATGGTCCAGCGGTGGAGCCTGCTGGAGCGATGAAGCGTTTTGGGGCAGCCTGGAACTCGACCGCTGATGTTCGCCTAAGGAGGTCAAGATCTCACACATTTACACATCACTAAACACTACGCACCTCATACCCACTTACGGCCTGACCGAGCCTTGGGGCGATCTAAGAGTCGCAAACAGGTATGTAATATGTTTTCTAGCATTCTCCCATATAGCTTAGTGTTATAGGAAATTCTTCCATGTGGTCATTTTGAGCCCGACCTGCGGCTGCTCGTGGAATTTACTGGTCATGGGCCCCAGAAGATTCGACCCTTGCTGGAGCAGCTGTAGGCCGCAACAACAATGTTTACACAACCTTCTTATTTCTTACCTCATCATGGTACGTGAGTCAAGCACAACTACGAAATTACACGTAGTCTTCGACGCTTCGGCTTCGGGCACCTCGGGTAAATCTTTCTAATCTATCCAAATGGTAGGCCCAACCGTACAAGATGATCTTATGTCCATCTTGCTTCGCTTTAGAGAGCATAAATATATTGTTACAGCTGACATAGAGAAAATGTATCGTGCTGTCTTAGTCGAGCCTTCTCAACGCTCACTCCAGTAAATTGGCTTTATGTTTAACCCCTCAGAACCACTAAAGACGTATACTCTTAATACAATTACATATGGAACCGCATCGGGGCCTTATTTAGCCACACAATGCTTAACTTCCCTCGCTGATCAATCCCCAGATATCAATGTTCAAAATGCTTTCAAGCATAATTTTTACGTTGATGATTTTTTCTACAGTGGTTCATCCATAGAATCCGTAAAAAAGACTTGCAGAGGTGTCATTAATACCTTAGAATCTACGAAGTTAAATCTACGTAAATGGTATTCAAATTTCGGTGAAATTTTGGAATCAATTTCTTCCATTAGAATAGAATAGAATAGAATAGAATGATTTTTATTCAATATAGATTATTACATAATACTTATTAAAAGTCATTATTTTATTTACCACACATACAACGTTAAATAAGGTGGCTCCTCTGAAACCAACCACAGTACCACGTTTGGAGCTTTGTGGTGTTTTGTTAGTTACGAGACTTTTTAGAAAGCATGACTCTATCCTTGTTAACATTTCATTTAAATAATTTTTTTATTAGGAGGGAATGGAACCAGGTATGTGGTTTATTTAACCTGTGAATTTGAACAAAACACAGTGGCAAAATAGTAGGTTGAGTAGATAAGTTAGATATAAGTGTTGTAAATTATAAGGTACCTACAATCGCGAGATGCGGGCCGCGCGAATTCGGCATCCGCACGTATATTGAGCCTAGTCAGCTGATTTATTAATTTTAAATTCCATTGTTGGTTTCATGTTTAAGTATATTTATGTTTTTTTTTATGAAATTATCGTTTCACTTAGCTGTACTAACATTATGAAACGTGAATAAAGCTAATAAAACGTTTCGAATTTATTTAACGGATCGATTTTATTTCTGACCCACCATCAAAGGTATCGTTAGTACTATCGTCTGTCTTCGTTTTCGGGAGCGTTTCACAAACAACTTGTATATAATTATATAATATATCTCGGAGCCTTCTGATTTGGAAACGCGCCTCGTTTTGTCATACTGAAATAAAACTTAAATTATTATTACTTTAATTGTGTAGTGGCGGTGTAAGTATATCCACTACCCTGTGCATCGTGTGGGTGTCGTAAGGCGACAGAGCAAAACTGAAACAGGAGATGGGCAGCATCTTCGTGATAAGGACTTAAAAATATAAAAAAACTGCAGCTGCTAGCCCGCTTGCCAAGCGAGGCAACTATGGCAAATATCCCTCTATGAGGCGATTTATGGGGGAGGCTTGTGTTCAACAGTGGACGCTTGATAGGTTGTAATGATAATGGTATTATTGAATATATACATTGTGTTATAATTCCATTTTTATTTACAATAAACCGTTTCGCTAACAAAAGTAAGTTTGTACTAATAGTTAACATTCACATGTGTAGACATTAAAATGTAAATAACATAGCAGCAGCAGTTGCCCTTCCGCTCCAGCTATGGCATTCATACACATCGAAATAATATTTGTACTAGGTACGTACTAGAAATTATTCGCGGCAGTGCGGAGCTCGTGTTCGGAAGCACAGATAACTTTATATTATAGCATAGACTAAGTAAGTTTGAGCCCATTGGTTACGTTGTAACATATTTAATCTGTGCCATGAGCTCTAACACGTGTTGCAAACGACCAAGTCGCGGCTTCTCTTCTAGTACCTATTACATATTACTTCAATGTTCTTACCCGTGGGTATGAATTAAATCATTTTACAAAGTGAGCATTTCTATCGTATAATATTATAATATTATACGTTTAAAATATCTCTACGAATTAATAATGGTATCCGTACATGCCTAATTTTATAATAATTTATACAAGTAATTACTTAATTTTATATAAATACAAAAGGAAATCTTTGGTATTTCGGAAAGAATATATTATGTAGTAAGATAAAAATACAAATAAGACAGCTTGATGTTTGTGCTGTCAAAGATGACAGTTTATTTATAAACTTGTAGTGTATGTCCCAACGCTAGTATATCCATTCACTGGTAGAGAATAAAGATATTATAATTTTAGTTTTTACCTTTTAATCTTATATAAAAATATAAATAATTTTAGATTCAGTATTCAAATAAAAATATAAAAACAAATAACTTAGAAAAACATTAATTATATCTCTTTTGAGAACATTAACTATATCTCAAAAGAAATAAAATTAATGTTTTTCTTTCAGATTTTCTGTGGGTTTTTAGAAGCGGCAGCTAGGATTTTTAGAATTAAATTCAAAGTTTTCACAGTTTTCATGAATAATAAAGCTAGTGGTAACAAAGATATTATAAAAAATACAATCCACTCAGTGATAATTTAACTTCCCTATAAAACTGGTATTGCACTATTACTGGAATATCTTGATATTAAATAAAAAAATAACAATACACAATGAGTGATATGAGCATTTGTACAATACATTTAAACTATAACTTGCCTGTGCAGGACTATTATACCACCTGACAGTAAGTTGTGAAGCAGCCAAAGATGGTGAAACGCGCGTTTGACTTAGCTAACAAACACGTGCCTCTGCTTTTTAAAAGCAAAGACTCAGACGAAATGTCGAGAAGGAGTGAATATCTACTCTCGCTGGGAAGATGTGTGGTGTGGCCTGGTGTCAGTCGCGGGTGTTAGGGAGAGGCGACGTATGTTGGGGCGGTCGTACTCCTCCATGGACATGCCGCGCGACATGCGCCGCTCCACGCCCGGGGGAGGCAGTGACGTCAGCCGGCCCTGGCCCTGGCAGAACAGCAGCAGCGACTGCGCCACCTTCGCCGGCTGCATTCACACAACACATAATAATAAATTTAGCGTGTAGTGACAGTGTAGGAATATCCACTACCCCATATCATCCCGTGGGTGTCGTAAGAGGCGACAAATGGAAACAAATCAGAAGTTGAGCAGCAGCGTCTTCCTAATAACGACTAAAAATAAAAATATACTGATGTTGTCAACTTTCCTGATTAGCGTAAAAACTATAGAAATATGGCAGATATATATGAGATATATTTCAGACAATCTATGGGGAAGCCTTTGTTCAACATTGATAGGCTGTAATTAATGAATTAATTAATTAACTTTCGACTAAATTATATCTAACACAGAAACATTACAGCTTAGGAAATGTTAGAACAATCTGCCCACTCGAACCCTATCTTAGGCATGTCCCAAAACGATCTTTGGATTTAAAAACGAAGTATATGACTTCATTACCAATATCACGCGCATTGTTCACGGCCGCATTGTATTTTTGTTAAAATTTTAATTGTTTAGCGGCATCGAACAAGCCGACCTTGAATAAAATTACTACCATATTGGCAAACAAATGTCCACAGTAAGAGTAAATATTGACATTTGTTAGCAAAATACCGATATTCGAATGTGAAATCGATAAAAAGAGCCTTTATTTTCTAGGTCACAACGAAGAGAGGACGACGCCTTCTCTTGTATTTTAAAATGAATGAGAATAAATCTGGACACAAGTTCCTCTTAATTTTTTTTCAATTATTCTATATATAATATAATAATTCTACAGAAAAGTCGTGTCTGTAATTCCCTGGAATTATAGTATATCCTGCAAAACAAGTGCAGGGGACCTCAGATAATCCTCTAATATCCCAGCCCAAATTGTATATCTCTTCTTCCAGCAGCAGGGTATTCTCGTCAGTTTTCAGGTTGGAAGCGTATATGTTGCCAGTTCGAGTCACCTTAGGTTGCAACCGAACCTCCAGCGGAGAATCTTAGCACCCTCTGCCCCGCCCTTACCATAGTCGCCACTGTAGCCAGGAATAGCAGGGGATCGGTAATCCTCGAATCCAGCAACTGGTCCTATCACCGGGAGGGCGACCATCTGTCCTAAGGAGGTGTTTGATTTATAGCCAAATGTCTTACATTACCAACTTTGTAAACAGAACAGAACAGAACATAAACTTTTTTATTCAATATTTATAATCTAAAATAATACTTATTGAAAGTCACTCTTTTGATTATAATTTCATGTTTAATTTCAGAAATCACCAGGTGATCAGTTCCTTCACTAGAGAAAAAAGTTTACGTGGTGGCTCCTTAATACTAGCAGATAAATCATTATTATAAAAAGAACGTAAGGATATAGTGAGCCTCTCTGTTGAGCGAACTGTAGAAATGGCTTGTGTCGAGCTCGAGCATCTCATTGTTGTAAGTGTTTACAGACCCCCATGTGCTACTTATGCCTATTCTGAAAGGATTGTGGAAGAAGTTTTGCTCAAACTTAGTAAACAGAACAAGTCTGTTGTAATATGTGGAGACTTTAACATCAATCTCCTTGAAACTTCTTCCGTTAGTATTAAGTTTAGCTCGTTGCTTAAATCGTATAATCTTGTTAATTTATTCTTAGAACCAACACGCATTGCTGGGCCTAGTGCGACCTGTATAGATAATATTTTTATAGATGTTAAGCCCTTGCATAAATCAATTATTCAAAATTTAAGTTCAGATTACTGTGGACAGTTGGTATCATTGCCTTACATACACAAGAAACAGAAAAATAAGAAAGTTGTGTTTGTTCCAATAAATGAACATTGCTTGGAGAGGTTTAGACGTAATATAATAAAAAGACTTCCATCACTTTCATTTAAAACAGTGTTAATTATTTGTATGGTACGTTATTTAAAATTATAACTTGTGAATTTAATAGGATATTTACTTCTAAAACTTTCTCTTTTAACAGTCGCAAATCATTTAATGAATGGGCGACAGTAGGAATTTATTGATTAAACTATTGATGTTAAGAATTTAACAGATTTATAGGGGATTTTCGTAAAAGTTATTTTATCTATGATAGATATAATAGCACCTTATCTAGCCACTATATTTAATGCAAGCATCGAATCTGGTGTGTTTCCTGATTTAATGAAACATAGCAAAGTCATACATTTATTTAAATCTGGTAGTACATTAGACCCCGCCAATTTTAGACCAACTTCTGTACTACCAACATGTAGTAAAAATTTTAATTTTTTTTTAAAATCAGATGTTAAGTTTCTTTAATATTAATAAATAGCTACATAGAAATCAATTCGGTTTTACAAGGGGTTGCTCGACAACTGACGCTGGAGTTGAGCTTATTAAACATATTTTTTGTGCATGGGAGAATTCAGACGATGCTTTGGGTATATTTTGTGACCTTTCCAAGGCCTTCGACTGCGTTCACCATGAGACATTAATCAGGAAGCTACAGTACTATGGTGTCAAGAACACAGCGCTTAAACTTATTATTTCATATTTAAGTAGTAGAATGCAGAAAGTTATTATCAATGGTAAAAGTTCTTCCGGCTCACCTGTACTAATGGGTATCCCTCAGGGCTCGATTCTCGGCCCATTCCTATTTGTGTAGATTAATGACTTACTTTAATCTAGTATATACTATATCATGACCATCCTCTTGTAGAGGATAATCATGATATAGTATTATTTGCTGATGACACTTCCTTGATTTTTAAACTTAAACGTCAATCATTTAAATGTGACGAAGTGAATAATGCTATATCAAAATTAATGCATTGGTTTAATGTTAATAATCTACATCTAAACGGAAATAAAATTAAATGTATTAAATTTAAACAACGAATGTTAAAAATCTGAGTACCAATGTGTTTTTAAATGGGGAAGAACTGAGCCCTGTTGAATCCACTGTTTTTCTTGGCATCACTCTCAACGCAAAGCTTCAGTGGGGCCCCATATAACCAAACTAGCAAGCAGACTAAGTTCTGCAGCCTATGCTGTAAAAAAGATTAGAGGTCTCACTAGTGTCGAGACAGCTAGATTAGTTTATTTCAGTTATTTCCATAGCATAATTTCTTATGGGATTTTGCTATGGGGAAATGCTGCTGATTCAGAAACTATTTTTGTTTTACAGAAGAGGGCCATTAGAGCTATTTACAACCTAAAACCTAGAGAGTCTCTTAGAGATAAATTTAAAGAAATAAATATATTAACTTTGGCTTCTCAGTATATTTACGAAAATTTAATGTATGTTCACAAAAACAAAGGTAGTTTTAGTAAAAAAAAGTAATATGCATTCTGTAAACACTAGAAACAAACACAAGCTAGTGATAACAGTTTCTCGACTCCACAGAGTCAGTAATTCATTCTTGGGGCAACGTATAAGCTATTACAACAAGGTCCCGGAAAGTGTACAGGCTCTCTCTATTAGCAAGTATAAATGTTTTGTTAAGTTGAAACTGTATAAAAAGGGTTATTATAGTATAAATGAATATATGGTTGATAATAACGCCTGAGAATGAGGTAATCGCTTCCAAGCTGTTTCTAAAATAAATTTTGTACTTATATAGTTTGTACAACCATTATTGTAAAATTTGCTTTAAAAAAAATGTCCCGCTGGGTTTCTTGCTGGTTCTTCCCATGACAGAGTTTTTTTTTCGAACCAGTGGTAAAGTAAAAAATGACTTTCAATAAGAATTACACATGTGATCTATATTGAATAAAAAATTATTCTATTCTATTCTATTCTATTCTATAGTCCTCAGTGTGCGCATCCAAGAGCAAGTTTTATCCGATAATAATGATAATATCCCGTACGTCAGTCTGAGCGAGATTAGAATGGCTCTCCAGCACATTAAAAACGCCAAGGCCCGGAGCAAGGATGGAATTAAAGCGGAGCTTCTGAAAGCGAGTGGAAAACCAGTACCCGAAATCCTTCAGAAGGTCAGAAGCTCTTTAATTTCGTACTCCTTTCTTTCCTTTAAACCTATCCGTTAGAAGGCACTATTGAGGTCATTCAGGGTAATAAGTAATTTGTTGAGATTGAGCACTTCATTGTTGTCAGTGTTTACAGACCCCCATGTTCAAATTTATGGAAGAAGTTTTAGTCAAGCTTAATACACAGAATAAATCTCTTATAGTATGCGGAGACTTTAATATCAATCTCCTGGCATCTTCTTCCATCAGTATTAACTTTTACTCATTGTTCAAATCATACAATCTTGGTAATTTATTCTTTGAAGCTACACGTATTGCAAGGTGTAGTGCAACTTGTATTGATAATATTTTTACAGGTGTTGTACCAATCAAGAAATTCATAATTCAAAAACTAAGTTCAGATCACTGTGGAGAACTAGTTTCATTACCATATGTGCACAAAAAAACAGGAGATTGAGAAAATTGTGTATGTTCCGATAAATGCAAAACGCCCGGAGAGAATTAGAAGTAATATGGTAAAAAAAAACCTTCAATTGCATTCTTACAAGAACAATTCAGACTATTTATATGGAGTATTATTTACCCTTATAAGCAATGATTTTAATAAAATATTTATTTTCAAAACATTCTCCAGAAACAGTCGCAAGGCATTTAATGAGTGGGCGACAGTAGAAATTCATAAGAGCAGGCGAAGATTATATGAACTTTACCAGGAAAGAGCATATAATATTTGCGATATTTTAAGAGAATATGACAAAATTTATTCTAAAATGTTTAAAAGAAAGTGCTCTACAGCCAAGTCTTTACATATTAGCAACAAAATTAAGACCGCTAAAAATAAAAATAAAATCCTGAAGTCCTGAAGAAGGGGACATAATAAAGCGGAGAAATAAAAAAAGCGAGTGACATAAACCCTGAGGTCATTCCAATCAACACTGTAAAAATTAAACCTACCAAGAGTTTTGGCGGGAACTTGACCGGCGGCGGTTTGCTGCTCCTGTATTTTAGTTTAAATAATAGTTTGAAGTGTAATTTGATATGGAAAGTGGTGCGATTTTATGTATTAACTCTCTACGCAT